GAAGGAGAAGGAGAAGGAGAAGGAGAAGGAGAAGGAGAAGGAGAAGGAGAAGGAGCAGCTTACCTGAAACACAGTGAGAATGGCAGTGGGAAATGTATCAAAGTTGGTGGTTGGTGTTTCATCATTGAAGTGAAACCTAGGAAGAGGCTGAGTATTAATATATAGGCAGTGTAGGAAGGTAGAAGAACTCTGAGAGCCCACCCAAGATCCCACCAGCAAGACAACACAAACAAAATTGAAACTCATTCCAAAGCTGAGGTGGATTCAGATACACAATGACTGTAAAGGATTACTCATGTAATCCAAAGCATGTTGACTTGCAGAATGAAGAACGGGCTTCTTTCCAAGAGGAAGTGTTTGCTTGTTTGTTCTTCCCTCATGTTTGGCTTTGTCCATCTATCATGGCCTCCTTCTTCCCAGGGAATATAATCAGGTGCCTTCAAGAAAGACTCCAAGCAGAGCTTCCTATGCTCCATGCCCCAACGATGGACATTCCGTGCTTCAGAGGTGACCCCGCACCATGGAATGCTCATTGCTCCACTCAGTCAAACTCTCTATAATACTCCATTCTCTCCCACACGATGGTTTCAGTCCCAAGAGATGAATTTGCTTTCTGTGTCTGCCACATATGTTTTATTATCTCAGTTTGCTTTAAAGTTTTTAAAGAGTTTCTGTATTTCTGGAAAGTTCTAGATTCTTTAGCAACAGGGCTCATTCCAGGAGGTTAGGAACAGAAAGAATTGTATAGGGGTGTGTGTGTTTCTCTCTCTCTTTCTCTCTCTCTCTCTCTCACACACACACAATCGCACATCAATACATTCCAAACTGAGGAGCGACATTTCAGTACAATAGATGAATTATAATTGGCACACCAGTTTCATTTTGGTTCTCAGACAGACTTCTCAAGATCAAGACCCATGGATCTCAATCCTGGGTCCCATGACACTGTTGCCTGTTAGCCAGGCTGGCTTGGGATGTTGGCATCATAGTCCAACAAGGCTTAAAAATATGGGATAGGGAAATTTTGAATAGCTTGAATCATTCCTTGACTCAAATACACATTTCTAACCCATTTCCATTTCTCTCACGAAGACACTACACAAAGACGCTACAGAACTGGTCTATTATGTCCAGTAAAGGCTGCCTTCATTCCTATTCTTTTCTGCACCAAACAGCCTAGGCAATGTCACATCCACATTAATGGTGGATGAGTTGACTCCATAAATCCCAAACATCTCTGCATTCTTCACAACCAAAGACTTCCTTGTCTTGGTGCCTGCAGGCGCACTGCACGACCCTTCCAGCCAACAGGGCCATCAACAGAATCAGGAAGCATGATAAGGTTGAAGGGCCCCAGTTGGGAACCTATAATGATGTCAACAGCACCTTCTTCAGTGTCTATCCAGCAAAGAGCCTTTTGGGTTCAACTTACTGCCCGCCAAAAAGCTGCATTCCCAACAAGGCAAACACGACAATAAAGAGGAAGAGGAGGAACAGCAGGCTAATGATGGATTTCATTGAATTCAGCAAGGAGACCACCAAGTTCCTCAAGGAGTTCCAGTACCTAGGATGCCAAAATAAACCAAATTACGATGATTATGATAGCATATAAGGTCGCTTTCCTCAATCTGGGAGGGTAGGAACTCAGTTCCCAGAATTCTTAGCAAAGGCTTGGGAGTTTTGGGAATCAAAGTCCATACACCTGAAGAAGGTAGGGCAAGGCTGATATAAGACATTTTTCCATAATCTACATGAACCTGGTGCTAAGCATGAGAAAGTTACCTACCTGTGATCAGGCACCACTCAATCAACAAACTGAGATGCATACAATGTATACAGTGGGATCATTATCTACTTGCTTTTTGAAAAACAGATTTTTAAAGAAGAAATTGGGATAGACAGCACAAGCTGTGTCCCTTGCCCGTTTTTTCTCTCACTTTATAAACAGCTCTTGACTCTTGTCTCTGCTGGAGGCTGGAAGAGAGGGGTTAACTCTGTCTTCTGGATTCAGATAGCACCATGAGCCTTGATTAATAGCTAATCTTGGAAAAGAGCAAATAAAATGGCCTCCCTGACTGAGGTTTCAATTAGCAAGTTCAGATAGCCCATTAGGACTCTAGCTTAGGAAGTTGTATGAACATAACTGTCTAGAAAATGAAGAAAACAAAGGGAAGGGAAGGGAAGGGGTTCAATTAAGGATCCTACATCTGATGCATATGCAAGACATTCTAAGCTCAAGACAGTGGTTGAAATCCATTTTGCACAATCGTTACTAAACCTCTTTCTGTTCCTCTAAGGGCCTTTCCCTCATTTACAACTGAGCATGGCACATGGAGCCTCTGATTCTGCCATGTCTCCATGGCATTACCCTTTATTTGATCCCCACTAGTGTTAAAGTTGCATTTTCCCCTTCTTCCAATGGTCTCCAAGGATGCCTCAAGGTGTACAAAAGCTGTCAGGCTTTGTCATTTATGACCTTGGAGGGAAATCAGGAAATGGCAGTGATGGGACAGAGGCCATCAAGGCAGAATACAGCTTAGCAGTGGGGGGCAGTGAAATTCATGCTGGCTTAATTTTCTGCTGACCCCAAAATAGAGAGGTCCTAGGTCTCTCCACTCTCACCAGTTTTTGCCTGTTGAGTACCACATGTCTTCAAGGAACAGAACTGGGTTTCCATAGCAACCAAGGTGCTCCAGCCTCCATCTGCAATTCCTCTGGCAGCTGATCCTCACTGTCAAGGCATCCATGAAGGCCTTCATGTTTGCTTTAATTCAGTTCCTCCTCTTTCCTGTCTTCACATTTGTTTTGTTCTATCTTTGCAACCATTGGTAATTTAAACAAAAAAGGCTACATACAAAAAAAAATACATTTTTGGGGCAGTGTTACACAGAAAAACATGTGTCTCTTTCAGAATGGTTGCACGTACACCCCAAAAATGAATCTGTTTAGAAAATACACACAAAATGAGTACAAAGTGTGTGCCTTAGGGAAAGCTGGCTATAGAAAGACAGGCAGTTCTTGTTACTTCAAAAATAATTGCATAATGAAGAGGGAAAATGACAGAAGAAATTCATGATTGTATTTGCGCGACTGATGTCTATGGGGAAGAAACATCAGTGTGTCTTGTCTACACCTCTGGAAAGGAGGCAAACAATGCAACTGGTTAGAGCAATAGGATGGATGGAAGAGCAAGAGAGACCAGGTAGAATAATGGTTAAAGTAGATGGACAAGGGTATGGGAGACAAATTCAAGTCCATAGAAGTCACTGACCTGGGCCAGTGATGATAGTCCAGTCTATCTTGCAAGGCTGTTTGTTATGCAGGAAGAGTGGAAGAGGGAGAGCTAACAAATAATTCTTTAAAACATAAGGGTAGTGGTTCTACTCTTCTACATCATGACCTCTGATCAAAGATATGAATCTTGCCTTCAGTTATTGAGGTGAAAACAGCATGATTAGTTGGAAAACACACCGTTCCCTACGCAACCTCTCATTTTTATTTTTACTTTTTATTCTTTTTAAGTGTGCTACCTGTCCATCAGTGCCACAGGAGATGTGGTGGAGAAAAGGAGAGGAGGAGGAACATTTCCTTTGAGCACTCAGCTGAAAATAGGATATACATGCAACGAGAACAGCAAATAAAAGGACATTTTTAACAGAAGCAAATTGTCATTCCCGTGCACCCATTCCCACAAATTAATCTGAAACCTACTTGGTGACTTTGAAGATCCTTAACAGTCGGAGGGCTCTGAGCACGCTGATGCCAAAAGAGGTCCCAGGTTTCACCACAGCCCAGATGACTTCAAAAATGCTTCCCACAATCACCTACAGCAAAAGCAAGAGGTGGTGGGTTCAAGCAGAAAAACAGAAAAAGCCATCTGTTCCTGGCCAATCTGCCTTTTTCAAAAGGAAGGACCTAATCTTGCAAACTGCTTCTCGATAGTCACAGGACTTTGCATTCCATCTCTCCATCTATTTCAATCCTGCTGTAATGGGCGGGGGACCAATCTGAGCATTACATTCTACAAATCCAAGTACGACCTTTATTGTTGAAAGGTGTAAAAGGGGGAGAAATGCCAGAAATTGGGAAGCCAAAGGTATGGCTGAGGGGGGAAAAAACCTTAGGGACTGAATCACTCAATCCACTTTTTGGGACTGCAAATATACACAAGATCCATTTTTGTTGTCCTGTCGAGCAGACGGCATACAAAGAGCAGACTTAGCTTCGTTAAATTCATATTGGGGTGCTACAATGCTACTTTCCAAACCGTGTCCTGATTTACTTGATAGGCAGCTCATTTTACACATTATGCAGAGACAAATGTGTTTTTGGTTTTGCTTCCAAGTGGAAATTTAAACAGAGAGCTGTTCCAACTACATAATAAACCACACCAGTTTTCTGAACATTGCTTCACCTTCCTACATTGTATTTCTAGGCATACAGTAGAAAAAAACAGCCTGACTGTACACAGAAACTTAATATGTATTTAAAAAAACAGTGTTTCCATTCTGCTAATTGGATCAGATTTGGTTTAGATTAGTTGTCTCTCTTTCCTTTATTGGTAACTCACTCTTCGATCAGCATTCCACTAGATTTCACATTTTTTATCCAATTTTACTCTGCTACAGTATTTTGTTTTCTGAAAGATGGTTTTCTCTGGGTTTTTTCCCCAGCTCAGCCCAGATGGTCAGAAGATATATATTACGAGATGTAATAAAAAAGCAGGGGACAAGGAAGAAGGAAGAAAGTCCAAAAATTAGACCACAACATTTACATTTCAAAGTCAACCTCAGGGCAAAAAATACAGATGCATGAAGGAATACTCTGGCCTGACTGAGAGCAAAAATAAAGGCTCAGCACAGCTCTTATATCAATAAAGGATCATATTTTCATTGATGCATTGGGTTAAAAAATGATTGCGTATTACCTAGTGGGAAGAAGTGGGTCCTCTGGGAATTGTAAAAATACGAGGGCCGTGCAGCACATTAGATCTGAATTAGATCCTGGATTCTACAGGAGTGAACATAGAAACTCCTTATTCTGAACCTCTCCTTTCCCAGGATCACAGGGCAGCTGTGGGGTGCAGGCATGTAACTCAAGAAAAATATCCAGATATTTGAAGAAGCTGGAGGAAGGGGGGAGGGTGCTGATAGCCCATGCACACCATGTTGCACAGCCCTAAAAATAGCCCCCTGTTCTGTTATAACGGTCAGTACATGGACTGATAAGAATTCAGGAAATGGCTTTGTAAATAGTCACCTGCAACCTCCCGTGAAATAGCAAAGAGACTCACCAGTTTGCAAAAATGCAGTTGAAGAGGAAATGAGGAAGCCTCCACCCTAATATATGTGAGGGGTATATTGACTGTGATGGGAAATCGTTCATTTGCTGGAATTCTTGTAACCCCATCCTTGTCTACGTAATCAGTCCTGCAGAAGCAACTCTGAGAAGCTTGCCCAGAAAAGAGCCACTTTTCATTTCAAGCAGAGGCCAAGACCCTGATGTTTCTCCAGCCTTGTATTTGCTAAGTCTTGTAGAACAGAGATGCGCAACGTGGGACCCCAGTTTCCCATGGATCCCTACAGACGTGGTTGTAGACCTTGAGATGTAGTAACGTGATAGCAGGGAAATATGATGAAGTCCATGACTGGGAACTCATCCTATTAGCTATATTTAATTCGGCTGGACCATAAAATGAACCAAAACATGTTTAGGTTGCCCTGACCTTATCTAATCTGGGGAGTACAGCCCCTGACATGTCACTCAAAGACCTTCTTTTCCAAGAAAGATGATGTATCTCTGCAGGATATATTCCTTGTCTGTCTGGAATAAGACATTCCTTTTCTAGCCACAGCCTGGAGAGACCCCTTTTTGGAAGTAACATATTACTTTCAGGATCAGCATTAAATGCACAGGGAAGGGGAGAGGAAGCCGGCAGTAGATGCCTACAGAGCTTCAGGTTTTATGCACACTGATCTCATAAAACAGTAACTTTCAGTCCTTCTTGGAGTCTTAGCTAAGAGAGACATGATACTTCCCAACTGTAGATCTCCATAATATAAATAGTGTAGTAGTGTATGAACTATTGGCACCATATGTGCCAGCATGATCAAGTAAGGTATACCATAAAACCTTCTGCCCATAAGAGCTAACAGGAGCAGATTCAAATGTGGTCATGTGAACACTCTTCTCTGAAGGATTCGAAAAGTGTCTAGCTACAATAAAGCTCTCCTGAGAGTTTTTGAATTTATTTCAATTGAGCATCCTTCTCCTCTTAATTTGATGTCAATACCTTCTTGGCTTTAGGAACTCCCAACAGCATCACGGGCGCCAGAGCAAATCCAGAATGGTGTGACTTCTCCTATGCTGTTTTGCACCATGTAGACCAAGAGTTAACCTGAGTGTCGAAGGGGCATTTTAGAAGATCACATTTTGACCTGCTTGCTAAGAAACTGTTGGCAGCAAGAAGCAACACAACTCAGCTTAACCCACATCCTTCTGAAGCATCAAGGGAGTGAACGCCCATCTTTTCTCTCCCTTCCCTTCCACATGACCACACGTTGTCAGGCACAGGATTGTCTCAGAGTTCTGCACCCATAACAGCAACGTCTTTCTGCATCTTCGGTGCACTCCTCTTCTTCAAATTCTTTCTCTCTGACAATTTGTCAAATTAGAAGTGGTGGCAAAACAGTCCCTGCCCTCCAGAGGCAGAAAAGCAGTCATAGACAAGAATGGGGAAAGTAGAGCAGGGATCAGGGTGATGACAGTCACCAAAGGAGACATTGCCATGTTCCCAGCAGGATTGGCAAATGATAGAGAATTAGCAAATGACAAAGCACCTTCTCTCCCTCCCTCCCTCTCACCCCTGGGAACGCCTGAGCTGAACAGCTGATTACCAGCTCTGTGTGCAACTGAGCAAGGAGAAACAGCTGCAGTCAAAGAAGCAGCTCGTGGTTTTCTAAATACTGGAATATTTAACACCCACTTGTTCCCTACAGATTGACTGAGGACTTCTTTCTCCCAGATGAAGCGTTTTAAATAATGAAAGGCTTTCCAGAAAGGTGGAAATTATAGGTAGCATGCACAAGACCTTCCTGTCATTCTCTGTACCTATCTGCTTCTTCTCCTTCCCCCCCATGTTCTCTCTGTTTGGAAGCTAAGCAGCGTCAGTACTGGTTAGTCCTTGGATGGGCAATTTTACAGAAATTCCAGGGCTATGGGCTAGAATTGGAAACAAACAGACAAACAAAATCCTGAAAGAAGGCAAAGGGAAATCACGTCCACATCATTGCCAAGGAAACTCCACAGACGTGTCTATGAAGTCACCAGGAGCTGAGTGTGGGTCAAGGATTGGAGATTTTACTTCTAGCTTTTTTAATGAAAGAGGGTCATCCAAGACCTTCCGCAAATGGGGAGAAGCTACAACGTTTCATTTGTACAAGGTGTATGGGGTGGCCACCTTTCCTACTTTAAAATAGATACCCCTCCATTTAAACAGCAGCTGGACAGACTTCCATTTTAGAGCATTGTCTGAGAAAGAAGAGTAAGGAAGAAGTTGGAAATCTCTCCCCAACCTTGGGGAAGCAGATTTAGCAGGCAGATACACCAAGGCCACCTCCTGGCTGATTTCTTCATTACAATGAGACCTGTTGCACCATTCCTGATAGTGTATGAGCAAACCAACCAAGTCAACGTGTGACCAGATGTGATTCAGCACTAGCTGAAATTTCCAAGCACACGTCAAGAGCTGATTCAGAGAGAGAGAGAGCGAGAGAGTGCACGTTGCAGCCTTGATCGTGGCCAGCCAGGCTCTTACTGGGCAGCCAGAGCAGAGTGCTTGATCCCTGCCAACTGTGCAGATCACCCGTGCCAACAACGAATCCAGCCTAGCTTTAGGGCCTGAAGAGCAGGCAGCGGTTTCTCTTCTGAGACCTGCCAAGAAAGCAGCTAATTGGTGTCACTTGTGCTGGTAGAAATGGACATCTGCCAAAGGCTATTTTGCTGTTCTTGCGAACATGACACAGTTGAAGCCGTGAGGTCAGAATAATTCCTCCGGGGTTCTGTGCAATAATGGTTCAGAAACAGGCAATGACAGTCTTGCTCTACCCTCTCCGACAAAGACCTTCAGCTGAGTCCCCTACATACAGAGCACCAAACAGCCAGGATTTTGTGCACCGTGGTCCTGCACAGATTCAAGATTTGCCCTTCTGCTAGTCATTAAGACTATAGTAAAGAATACATTTGAGCATGGCAAGACAGCTGGCTAGGAGACTTTCAAGGGCAGCTAGATCGAGATTGTCCATGCTTCAGGGGAGGGGGCCTCTCTATTCTCACTTGACCCCCTTAGGAGGAGAGAACTGTGGAAAATAAGCATCTCTTAATGATTTCTTTCAGGATAAACACAACAGTGCCCACAGAAGCACAAAAGAATGTAGCAAAGATAGGAAGAGACATGTTATTCGTTTCTCAGTTATTTAAAATAGTCATCTCACAAATATTTGTCTCAATCCCCCCACACGCACGCGCGCACACACACACAAAACCAAGGAAACATCATCAGAAGAAGTCAAATAAAATGGTAGAGTCTACTTTGATTCAAGCTAGACTTCTGGTGGCTTCGTGGACAGGCCCATGTAATTTTCTACGCAACAGTGTGGAACCGATGTGCCACTGGCTTCTTTGGGGAACTTTGTTTTCATTTCCCAGTTTAGCCTAGGAAGCCTCGGGTAGTCTCCCAAACAAGTGCTAACCAGATCCATCCTTACTTAGCTTTTCGACATCAATCAATATCAGCTTGCATAACGCAATTTCAGACATAGGACAATAGAGTAAAACAGAGAAGTGCATAAGAGACAAAGGCATGGTTAAGCTATGGATGTGAAGTCTAAACATTCACATAAAAAGAGGTCCTCTCCTGCATTCCAACAAATGGGTCCTACAAATTTTGGCAAGGCCTCACACGCGCAGGGGTCTACCACAATCACGGTGATTCATATGCAGTGTTTCCTGATTTTCCATGGCAATGATTGAGGTCCCACGGGCGGCTAGAGCTTTTTCCTATTCCCTCCCTATCCTCCACCACCATCCCTACCTGAACAATTAGACACAATTCTTTCTACATGTTCATCTATGCACAAAATCATTATTGCACAGAGAAGGCTTGCATCATTCCCTTCTTACCCCAAAGTCAAAGCAATTGAACGAGGAATGGAAATAGTTCCTTGGCCCCAAGCCGTACATCTTCAAAAACATCTCAGTGAGGAACAAACCCAGGAAGACAAATTCCGCAAAATCTAGAAGAAAGTAGCAGAACATGAGTGACAGGTCCCTTCATTGTGGAAAAGGCCCACCTGGTGGGGTGATCATTAATCAGAAAAAATATCTAAAACATTTCACAGAGAACAAGGGTATCCTGACCACCGGGGACCCACAAGCTATGTTTTGGAGAGGAACCCCAACCTCCCCAAATGATGATCTTTCTTATTCTATATTTATCCCCTTAATTCAGTTGCTTCTCTTAATTTTGCAGCACAGTTTTTAGACTGAAAAATGTAGCAACAAGTGTACACAACAGGCATATTTTGAAGGATACAATGCGTACCTATTTTTGTACGGCCCGTAAAAATGGTAACTGATCAAATAGAGCAACATCAATTCAAAATTATCTCCTCGAACACAATGGTTGGGTTCACACCACAGCTGGTTCAATTAACCCATTTTCTCAATTTGTACAGTACATTGAACCATAAAGTAACCAGATGGCCCATGTCCATGCAACACATTGAATCACCGAAGAAAAAAAAAGGGTAACTAGCCAAGCTTAGAACGTTTTGCCAATTAAACTGCCAGATCTATGACTGACCTGGTTAAGCATGTTATATGAACACAGCCATGGGCAAATGCCAAAGAAACAGCACATAGTTTCAGCTGATCAATTAAACTGGCTTCTGAGGCAAGCAAGCAATGCATGTTTAATTCCATAAACTGCTCTCCCCCTCTAGAGGTGCAGTTGGAAGGCAACTGGAGACAGCAACTAGATATTAACTACATCTCTCATTTCCCCTTGGACGTCATTCAGTTTTCCAGATGGATTCTTTGAGATCGAGATAAAACAGGCTGTATTCACACAACTTGTTTAACCTGGTTAATGATTTAACCCACTTTCTGGCTATGCACCATGCATTGAGTAATAAATTAACTACCTAATCCCAGTTTAGCATACTGGGACTGTACAGTGTGCTAAGGCACAATATAATGAAGCATGTTTAGCATACTTTGCAAATGCACGCTAGATCTTCAGCTAACCTGATGGCGCCTGCTGTGTGAACACAACCAAAGTGTCAGGGCCTCAAGATCTCATTTCCCTCCTTAAGGACTGAAGCCAAGAAAGTTGAGGAAGAATTGCAGGGTGAAATGAAGCTCAATCCCAAGAGAGCTTCATTTTTAAGTATCTCATTAATCCAAGGAGGCCTCACTATCCTCCTCCAATTCAGTAGACTTTGAACTGGAAGGTTCTGGTGAAATCTCCCCCAAGTGTTAAAAGCAAGCTTCATCTAACAAAAGAAGGGTCACCTACTAAGAATGGAAATGACTGCCCAGAGAGACATCCATCACTATTTTAGACTTGATCTGAAACTCGCTCACTGAGGCAACATTGAAACATTGTTCTCCTCTCCTCTGAATGTTATGCCATCCTGGACTGTATTGTTTTGCAAGAACTTAAACCTCATCTTTCTTTCATTCCTTTCTTTCACTCTTCCCTTTAAAAAACTAACTCAGTCATAGATCTTTTCACCATGATTCACATAGCTGCCCATCTGAGTTAAAATCCCAGTTCTGTTGGGACATCTCTTGCAATGGAAGAGAAGGATGGATTTCACAATTATCCATCCATCTTCCTACACAAGGTCTCCCATTTTCCACCATCACTTCCAGCTGATGGATCAGGATCACCATTTCTTCTGACCTAGCCTTGTCCACATAACTGGAAAAAAAATGCAATTCCATATTGTTTGGCTGTTTTAAGGATTTTAAGCAACCTTAGACAGAAACCTCTCTTATGCAATGGGATGAAAGAAGGGGAAGGGAAGAACTGGCTACAAATAATGCAATTCGATTTTTAAAATTTGTACTGCTGGTAAAGGCCACACTAGTTGTTTTCCACCCAGTACCTTTGAATAAGATCATTAGCAGCTTCTCTCTCATTGTCTCATCACTAATACATTAATTCCATTTTCTCTGAACATCTCAAAGTCTGAAGCCATTGGGAACAGGGCCTAAAGAGGTTGCTATTTATCCAGTTCTTTGCTGCCCCACACTTTGCTGCAAACCATCATGTGTGCAAAAGGACTGTCAATATTTAATCTTTGGCTCCCCATCCCCCTTCCAGAATTCACACCTAAAATCTTCAGCAGACGTAAGGAAGAGTGCTGGCTTTGAAGACTTCCCCTGCTGTGCATACTGATATCCACAGGGAGAATGTGGTATAGCTTTGCAGACAAACACAATCTCATCAAGGAACTAATTATGTTACATTACCCAGAACACATGACTGAACAGAATACTTTCAGTGTATCGCAGTTTGGAGGTGGGAGGGCAGCAGTTTCCAGACATGGTCCCCAAAACTTCTGTCATCTCATCTAACCTGTCCCCTTCCCTTCCCTTCCCTTCCCCATCCCTTACTTTCCTTTCCTTTCCTGGGGGTTACCGTAACATTTTACACATTACTTTCAATCGCATACCCTTCCCTTCCCTCCCCTCCCCCCCCCTCCCTTCCCCCTCCCCCCCCCCCCTCCTCCTTTCCCTTCCTTTTCTTTTCTTTCCTTTCCTTCCCTTCCCTTCCCTCCCCTCCCCCCCCCTTCCCCTTCCCTCCCCTCCCCCATCCATTAACTTCCTTTCCTTTCCTTTCCTTTCCTTTCCTTTCCCTTCCCTTCCCTTCCCTTCCCTTCCCCATCCATTAACTTCCCTTCCCTTCCCTTCCCTTCCCCATCCATTAACTTCCCTTCCCTTCCCCATCCATTAACTTCCTTTCCTTTCCTTTCCTTTCCTTTCCTTTCCTTTCCTTTCCTTTCCTTTCCTTCCCTTCCCTTCCCTCTT